TGATTATAGTTGTGATGTTATAATTACCAATTTACTTAATTTACACACTTATATCTTATTAAATATCTGCAACATCCTCCTTCCCATTCAGAACTCTGATACACTATCAATCATTATATAACTAATAAATTACTAGAATTTCTTAGAAATAAATTCTTTTCCTTGAAAAGAGACACTACAAATTCAATGTTTGGATTGATTATGAATTCAAAAGATATAAAAGAGAACATCCAAAATATCTATATCAATTTGAGGCTCCAAATTACTTGACTTACCAAGAATCTATCAATATTAGGGCGGTAGATTTATACAAGCTGTCATAATTATACTTTTATAAGAGATACAAGTAATAATTTGTCCACCCTTTCCATAAAATGAATAGCTCCAAGTTTATTATCAGGAAAAAAGGTTAGGATATAGAGGAAGCAAGGCTAGCAAAATAATATTTCTATATTCATAAACAATTTTTCCTTGACTGTTGAAGAACCTTATCAATCTATTTGAGATATCAGAGAAGATTTCTTAAGACCCAGGTATTACTTATTCTTTTTTTTTTGGTTAAGTTCGACGAAGTTTGAATAATATCTTAGAGTGTTCTTTATTTTTTTAATTTGAAATTTCCACAATATCATCTATTAATGATATATAGGTTTACCTATTAATTGTTACAGTCTGTTACCTAAAATATCAACTATGATGTTCTAAAGTGGCAACAAGACAATTATTGAAAAAAGTTTATTGGCATGTCTGGGATCCAAATCTCTATATTGGAATAGAAATTTGTAGACAATTTATATCCCATACCATTTTTTTTTCATCTGAAATTTTTGAATTGTTTCTTGAATCCACATTCTCAATTATTCAAGATAGGATCGGCCATAAGTCTCAATACCCTTTAGGCTTTTCCTTATACCTATTGCTTCTAGACTTTATAAGGCTAAATAATTGATTGTTGAGTTTGGTTCTTCCTTGTTGATTGATATTCGATGAGTACTTTTTTAAATCCAGAAAAATAGAAAAATATAAGTAATAGATATATTAAATTTATATCAAAGATTTTTCTTAAAATTATTTAATCTAAATTTGCTTCTCAAACGTTTCTTAATTTATAATTACGATATAAAATTTGAATATTAATTTTCAAGAATTTGAATAATACCTAATAATATTTTTAATCAATCAGTTTTAAACTGGTTTATAATTCATCTATTGGTTTAATTTTTGTTAAAAAATAATACTTTATTGTTATTAAAATTCACCTTCAATAGTTATAATATTATTTATATATAAAAATAGATTAATCCTTAATTCCATTATGATCTAATATTTTAATAATTTTTGAGAAATATTATCAATTGATTTATGATCAATATATAAAATATTATTATCTAGAGTGAAAAAAGGATTCTAATATTTCCATTTATATAATTATTCAAGGTCTCTATAGATAAACATTCCTAGTGTTATTTGTGGTTAACACCAAGAATCAAAATTCTTATTTAGTCAACAAAACTTATCAGAATTATTATATATTTAGATGTTGTAAATCAGAGCAAAAGAGTAAATTTGTCAATCCAAATTAGTCTAATTAATCCTATGTTTGAATATTATTATATCATTAATAGGGAAAATAGATAGTTCTTCAATTATTAATTATTTAAACCATGAAAATAGTTTAAAAACTTAACAGAAGGAGGATTAAATATATTATCAAAGCGATATGAAATTATCAGAGCTGAATGTTTTAGAGGGTTTATTTAATTGTGATTAAAATTTTGACACATAAAATTCCTTTGATTTGATTTCTGCCTAAATTCTATGATCCATCCTCAAAATAATTTTTTACTTTAGAAAGTACTCTTTCAATTATAATAAAAGTTGAAAAGATCTAATCATTATTCATTTCTTGCATTTACTATAATATGATGAAGTTTTCTGATATAAGAGGCTATGAAATGCTGCCACAATCAACTAAAACAAAAATAATGAATAACTATCTCTATGCCACAAGTTCTTTCTGTAATTTATTTGTAGCAACATTACATTTAATAGACAGGTAAAGATTATAAATTTGCATTACTGGTTTCTTGTCAACGATAGTTGAGTGATCTAAATTATTTGATTGTAAAAGTTTTAAGGTCTTCATAGATGATACATACCATGAATTTATATTATTGATATAGATTTCTTATGTTTGGCTTGTTGTTGTAACAGTTGGGTAATTTACAGAGTGTTTAGCTCTAAGTTTCACTAGAGTTTTATGACTTCACTCATTATATGTATTATCCTTTTAAGATATGGGAACCTTCATAGGATATATAATTTTTGGCTGATTTTTTCAGGGGAATTTATTAATCTCAAAAATTTGAATATGAATTTTGCAAGCATTAGTTTTACTTCCAAATATATAAAATATTTCTTCTTCACTAATTGTGTTTTTAATTTAAGATAAAAATTATTATTTACTTTTAATTTAGAGTATTTATATGCTTATGGGAGGTATTAATTTTCTTATTTAAAGATAATTGCAGAATATTAATAACACTATTTTATTTCAAAGGTTATTTGGAAAATATTTTTGAAGATTAAGGATTATAAGAGTCAAAGAAGTAGTTGAAATTTTTGAACATTTTTATCCCTTTTTTATATTAATTAGAATGTTGAAGATTATTTTAATAGATGAATAAACGCTATAAAATACTTACTATTTGATGAAATTGAATTTTTGATTAAATCAATTTATTATTATTATTATTAGCCCTTTGAATAATTTTTCCACAAACATTTTTATTTAATATAATCCCTTTTGAATATCAAATATTATGATTATACCTTTGATTAGAATATAAAGCTGATATAAATCATTCTATTGGCTGGGATAAGTTGCTTTACAATTTTATACTTTCAATTTACATTTTTTCTTTGTTGCTTATATGTACTCGCGTTAAAGGATCAATAGCATCATCTGAAGTGAGGAACAGACGATTTTGTATTAGAGTCTCTTATTATGATCTTCACATACTCTCAATGCAAATTTGAATAATAGGTGAAGTTGTCAAGTATATTCAATATTTTAGGGAATTCTATCTAAGATATGGTTTTAATACAGGTTAATTTAAGAATTATTTGACAGGAGTATCTTTAGATAATCTAGTAAGTTGTTTGAATATCTATTTTCTTAGTAGAATAAATTTTTTGGTCAATTTTATTTCGCAAACGATAAACTAACTGAAAAGTGAAGAAAATGTAGTTGAATATAAATGTAATAAATTGACATTCTTTATTTAAAATTTAACTCTTATCGTTAGATGCATTAGTTTGACCTAATAAAATTGATTAAGATATTTATTGTTATTGGTAAGATGAAGCATTTCGTTTTATTTACTTTCAAGTTTCACTAAAGTAAATGTTCTTATAATTTTTATAATCGGATTCTGATATTCCTGTATTTATTTAACAAAAACTATGTCATCTGCATATTCTAAAACGTTGGCTTAAATCAAAATTCGAAACATGCTCTTTAGAATTTATCCATTTATATGTTAAATAAAGCTGGAGAAATAGGCAAACTTTGGGGTACCCCATTCATAAAGTAACCTTTTTCTTTGTATCATCGGTGTTAATATAAAGGATTCGACTATGGATAGCATATCAAAATTTAACTTCTTGTTTATTATCAACTTTTTCATCTATGATTCATTAGATCATTTCCTTACTGATTGAGTCATTAAGTAAATAAATTTTTACTTGTGTTCCTAAACCATTAATAAAATCAGTATATTGTTTTTTAATTCCATCTTTTCAGAATAATGGCAGCTTTATTTGAATCAAAGTTCTAAAAACTTGAATAATAGGCTGAGTATTACTAGAAAACGGAATTATTCTCTTCAAGGAGTGTGTTTTATTTATAGGAAGTAGTCTAGCCTACCCGAATTTTGGGTTTCTTTGAAAAGCTCCTTCATTCCAGATATCATTAAGGATTCTCCAATTACAATGTTTCACAAAAGAATGTGGTATTCTATGCCACCAAATGATATTGCTTTATTGCTAATCATCTAATTTTATAATTCTTTAATTTATTCTTCATCTAATCAAGTAGTAAAGGATATGCGTTGGTCTATAAGTTTCTTTTTCTTAATTTTGATATTCTATTAGTAAAGATATCTTTATCTGTTCTAATATTTTCTTTTTCATCCTAATAACAAATAAAAATTCCTCCATCTTTTCTTTGTTTATACAGTATTACTAAATCCCTAATTTTCCTAAAAAGTTCCTTAACTATTCTAATTAAACTTTAAGATAAGTAATAAAATCTTCTTGATTTTTAAGTTGTATTCTTATTCTGTTCTTTATTATAAAAGTCATAAAAATCTTAAATATCAGAATTATTTAAGGATTTATGGCATTTTTAATTAGCTTTTATTTTAGATATTACCAATTCAGATTTAAGTTGGGATTTATCCTCTACGGATTAATCTTCTAATTATATTTTGATTTTAAAAGCAGCATGATCAGAAAGGTTAGTCCAATATTTTGTGTTTATTCAATGCATAGTTTAAGGACTAAGATATGAGTTTAAGCTTGTATTAATCTATTTTATTGTTATCTTTTGAATATTATTTCCTTATACAAAAGATCTCTTAATCCACAATAATTGAGAAATGATGTGTTAAAGTCTCTGTATATCACTATTTTTACATTATTTCCAGTTTTACTTAGCATTTATCCTACTATGAAATTTTCTATGAATTTCAACTAAACCTCCTCTCACTTATCCCGATCGTTGTTTTTGATAATAGTATCTTTATTTAACAGTATCTTATTATGCCTTATTCCTCACTTCTTAAATATATATGTGGTTTAAGATATTGAATCTCTTTAAATATATTTAGCTTAATTGAACATACATTCAATCAAACTATGATGATTCAGAATTTTAAATAGTTTTTCTGTTTTTTTTATTCATTTTTAATTTCAATTCCCATCAAGTTTTTATACCTTCTTGAGTTTAATGAATGTGAGAATTATTTGATGCTTTGGTTTTGTATAGACCAGATCCACATTACTCACAATATATTTGACTTTCATTTTGGCTCTCTATATATTGTTTTTCCGATAAGAAAGAACAATCATTATCCATGTCCTATTTCTTCAATTTAAGACTTTTATTGATTAAGAAACCTAACTTTTAATATCTTTCTTAATTGATTACATAATTTATTTGCTGAAAAATTATGATGAAGAATTAGTTTAAAAGTCTTAAATATAAAGAATTTACCTTTAGTTTTTATTCCTTTCAATGCTATGGATTTAAGCTCTTAATTATTTATTAATTGCTTTTCACATAATGTATACTTAATTGTTATTAATTTCCTTTAAAATAGTTTAGCTTTTATTTAGCTCTAGTATTAAAGAGGAATAGCTTAATTTTGCAAATTCTAGATATCAATTCTAGTATTTTTTTAGCTACTTTATTTTGAACTAATTTTTTCTATATCAACTGCTCTTCTTTAGTATTTTTGAAAATTGGATTAAGTTTTAAATGAATCCATTCCTTCAGTTCAATTTATATAAGATGTAGTTAGAAAGCTATAAAATGATAAATAGTCTGATGCAATTATACTTTATCTTCTTTTTATACACTTTATTCCTATACTTTCTCAAGTGCTAAAATTTTCTCTTGCAATTGGTAATTTATCTAAATAAAAGATAGAATAGCTCCGAGAATGTTATAATAAGAACTGCTGTTGATAAGGTTATTTTGATCATAATATTTCTAGTATTTTCTTCCTAAATTATCTATGCTAGAATATTGGGCTAATATAAAGTTAATGCTATTTTTCTATTGAGGGGCTATCTTATTGTTGTTTTTCATCAACTTTTTAATCAATATTGATTTTTTCACAATTAAATTATAATTTTTTTAACTATAAATTTTAATAAGAAAAAAATATATAAAAATTTCATAAAGATCTTCTTTCCTTAAATATATTTCTCTTTATTCTTTAGTAGTTTCAATCTTAAAATAAGATTTAAAGTCTTTCTTAATTAGTGGTACATCCTCCTACATTTCTTCCTTTAACTTTTAAATAAAGACTTATATTTATTATTCCCAACTAATCTTTATTTTTTTCAATTCATCATATAAGAATTCTTGCAAGCATTCCAATCATTTTATGTTGTTCCTTCTATTATATATACTAATTTTCCTAAGTCAGAAAAGCAGGATTCTCGAAGATTCATATTTTTATTGATAAGATTAATGAATTATTTATTTTCCTGCTAAATCATTTAATAAATTTATTTTATTAATTCCGATATTTCTTCAAGATTTTTTTACAGCAAACTTTCAGTTTGAGAAAGCATATACTTCAAATTCATTCTCTATTTGGCTAACTTAAGTGTTTCTTCAAGTTAAAACTCTTTAAATTTCTTGATAATCATATCTTAAAAATTTTTTATTGGAACTATAAATTTTAAACCTACACCATGTACATATTAACATTCTACACATAGTTTTCTTTGTATATGATTCATTAATAAATATTCTAAATGAATATTAAAAACTTAAGATCTTTTTAAAGAATGCAATAACTATGTTTTATGTAAACTTATCAGAATTTTTTTATTTATTAAATAGAGTGAATTATTTTAAATAATCTAAATTTTCAAGATTAAAAAAAAATTATGTTTTTAAATCTTCCTTAAAAAAGAATTTTTTGTAATTAAGAATTTGTCAAAGATTATTAGATAGAAAGTTAAAAA